TAATTCTGTACACATTTTTCTTGTTGCAAGTTTTGAAGCATATTCTCTAATTCTGTACACATGTTTCTTGTTGCAAGTTTTGAAGCATATTCTCTAATTCTGTACACATGTTTCTTGTTGCAAGTTTTGAAGCATATTCTCTAATTCTGTACACGTTTTTCTTGTTGCAAGTCTTTTTCTCTTTCCTCTTCATCCTTTGTTCGTTTCTAAAGCCGAAGTCTCTCTGTTGGTCAGCGGTAAGTTTTTACGGATTTCCTATGCCTAAACCCGGCATTCGGTTCCTCGTGGTGTACAGAACTCCGATAACCCGAAACGACTTTTTAAACATAAAACTTCATCTTCTGTTATTTATTTTAAAATTAGTCTAGTTTGTAGTCAGAACCAATTAGTTTTTTTATTTTAATCAGTCATGAATAAATACTGAGAATAAATGTATAAATCTTAATGTTTTCTTTTTATAAAGTGAGTTACACTTGCGTTAAACATTTGTAAAAATATAATAGAACAAACTTTTGTACATGTTTTCTTTCGCAGATGCAACAGCAGTAACATTTTTGATGGCATTATACCACAAGGATACAAGAAAGCTGTGGCTCCATCTACAGGAGGTAATATTGTGCTATTGAATTTCGGTCCGTTTTCCTAAAACTAGTTCACTGATTTCAATTTAAAATTTTCGATTATTAGATAATTTAACGAAGTGGGAATGGGTTAATTTTACCAACAAACATGCTCGTTAATTGTATCGCTATTGTAAGATTTTGTTACCTGACTAAAATGGTATAATCCCTGTAGACTCCCACCGGAGCATAGAGCCCCAACAACAGCTCGCCGACGGAAGATGTTGTTGCAGTAATTTTTTAGCAGGTTGGTTTTTACGGGGCGGAGTTGCTAGCCCCACGCCCAACTCTCCTCCTGGACTTGGGAGCAGGACCCTGCCGGGGAACGAACCCGGTACCTTTGGATTAGAAATCCAACGCGCTATCCACAGCGTTATATGGACACAAAATGATATAAACTGAAGTTAAAGTGTAATTTCATTTCAAGTATATTTTTTTTATCGTGCTAATGCATTAAGCTAAATCTCATTTTGTTTGGTGTTGTTTTTTGTAAGCATTTAATATAAAAAAGTGTAAACTGTGATAATAATATTCTTAACATTCACTGTGTTTTTTTTTTCTGGTATGATACTTAGTTAATACTAAACAGGTATTAAAAGTTTCTTCTAAAAGTAAAAAAATGTTGAGTTGTTTTATTTAATCCCTTCCGTGATGGTAAGTCTCATAATTGGATTGAATTATCAGAAGTTTAACAAAAGATGAAATTGAAGGGCGGAGCTCATATCCTATGATATTCATTTACATATCCACAACAAGTTTAAATTGTTTGCTATTAGTATTAGCAGTGTTTGTAATTGTTTGTATGGGTATAAGTTTCTTAAATATTTCATTTGCTTCTTTGTTTATTCCGGATATTCGTGCAAAGCTACACCAGGGTTAACTAGTAATGACCAACAATTTACACATCTGACTATCAGATGCATGACTTTTGTGACGACGAACTGGAAAAGGGAGTGAAATTACTTAAGATAATGGTCTTGCGTTGTCATAGCTACAATATTACAAAACATGGTATATCCTTCGTGAACAGTATTGGCCAATGTCGCCAAAAAATGCCCAATAACCAATACATATTATATTTTATCATTATGCCCTTACGGAATCATCGTGTTTCTAGATATAAAGTTGTTATTTTTATCTGTGAACAACGAACACGTATCTACCAAAATTTGCGTTATTTATTATGAACGTGATAGAACTTTCAACAAAACTTTGCACGCTAAGCATAAAAAACTAAACTTATCGAGCTAATTTAAGCGACTTTTATGCATGCAACAGCAATGAAAAACAAAACTTGCTAAAACATGTAAAAAATATGGCGGAAACTCAGCCTTAAAATGTCGAAAAATCGACTGTACAGCCAATAATAGCAGCAGTGGGCATTATGAACTCTCTAGATCTTCTTCTACACGCTTATTTCAAGAGGTACTACTTAATAGTGATGAATAAATATTGAATTTACATTTTTAAGCATCAAAATTAAATATTCATTTAACTCCTTGTACTAGTATTGATTCAGTGGCCAGGCCAGAGATCCCTATGAGGTCCAGGCATAACATCAATAATTAAGAACTGTTGAACATGGTGAGGAAACCAGTTTTCAGTATCTTCCGCCTATGTGGCTACTCTTAACTGAATGGCGGGATTTACTGTCACAGTTAGTAAAGCATAGCTTTTTCAGAGGTAACGTGGCTGGAACCTTGAACTTTCTGATTATAGCTCGACACACTAACAACAGGCCTATCCATTGTATTTAAGGTTACAAGTTTCAGATGTAAGGGAACATTTATAAGATGGTGTTTCTTATGCGAAAAATTCAGATTTTGCAAAAGTATAAAAGAAGGAAACTGAAAGTTTGTAAAACTGTCAACATTTCAAAAATTACAATTTCCAAACTTGTTTACATTTCAGAAACAAATCACTCACTTTTTTCACATCATTCTCAAAGTGGCTTATTTATTTATTTGTTTGTTTGTTGAATTTCACACAAAGCTACGCGAGGACTATCTGCGCTAGCCGTCCTTAATTTTAAATTGCTAGACTGGAGGAAAAACATTTAGTCAACACCACCTACTGCCAACTCTTGGCCTAGTCTTTACCAACGAGTAGTGCAATTGACCGTCTCATTATAACGTCTCAGGTCTGAAAGAGCGAGCATGTTCGGGATTCGATTTAGTCAACACCACCTACTGCCAACTCTTGGCCTAGTCTTTACCAACGAGTAGTGCACTTGACCGTCTCATTATAACGTCTCAGGTCTGAAAGAGCGAGCATGTTCGGGATTCGAACCTGCGACCCGCAGATCGCCAGTCGAGTGCCCTAACCGCATTGGTTTATCTTAGAAGCAAGTATTACGAAATAACATATAATTATCATCCATTTTTGTCTGTCTTTTAGATAAAGAAGTGGATATCTACATAACATTGCAAATCGCCGACATCTATGGACTTGATGAAGAGAGTATGGTATGTATTAAACAACCAGTTCAAGACATTACACTGCAATGAAATATGGAAAATAATAATAATTAATATCGTATGGCACGGATTTCATATAATGTAAGTTACAGAAATAGCTGATTTTTAGTTTGGTATCCTAATGAAAGAAATGTGCATTTTATGTTACTTCGTTACAGTTGTTGTTGTTTTTTGTTTTTTCTAAGGATTTTTACGTTCACATGTATTTTGATGATATGTGGCGAGACGAAAGACTTGCTACGAAATGCATCCAGAGGGCGCGACCGATCATACTTCCGGAGGAAGTAGCTGAAAATCTTTGGGTTCCAGATATTTATTTCGAAAACAGCAAATGGGGAGAGATGTTTAAGATCTCTGTACCTAACACTAACGTCAAGGTTATGCAAGACGGGATGATCTACCGTTACTCTAGGTAATTCAATACGTTAGGAGGTTAAGAAATAAAACATTTTTTGATATACATTGTGCACTGTGCAACTATATTAAGAGTACAAAACATAAAACCGACAGTTTTTGGCTTAATGTAAAGTAAAATCTTTATCATTAGTCATTAGTTACTGCTGACTGGTTTCAGTAACACAGGGCTAATGACTACACTGGCTCTGATGATGGTAACTGTGTTACCAAAGCTAGTTGGCTGTAACAAAAAACGTCGGTTTTTGTGGTTTTTTTTTTACTCTTAAATGTGACTTTTGTCCCTGAACTTTACAACTAAACACAACTAGATAAATAACACAGGCCTGCGATGGTTTATTGTCTTGAAATTTTTACATGTTCTACAGTAATTCC